CAATTTCTTGATACTAATGACAGTTTAATGGCATATAATGACAGTTTAATGACACATAATGACAGTCTATTGAATATACACATAGCGTAAAAGAATAATTACTGTGTAATTATGGTACAACATTATTTGTTTATTTGGAAGTTACTATATTGTATTGATGAATAAAGCAATAAACCTGTTTCATGCTAAACTCAATCGTCAGACCATGTGCCTTGTTTTTATATATACAGGTCAGTGGTGCATTGTGGGTAATTTATGGCATTGTGGGTAATCACTTGTATTATTCTAACGGTTATTTTGGTCGGAGTTAACGGTTCCGAATTATTCTGGGCGTTATTAAGTGCGAAAAAATACCGTATTCGAATTCAGTTTTTTGGCTATTTATAGTGTTTTTAGTGAACGTTTTTTAATTATTATTGATTATTTCATTGTTGGTAGTTTTTACTGCGTTTTCTTGTTTATCTTCGCGTACGTGGTTTGTTAATTTGTTTATTATTTACTTTGGATTATTTTTTTATTATTTGGATTTTATTTATTTACTTATTTTCGCTTATTCTTGTTCATTTTCAGTTTTCGATATTTAAGTAACGTAGTAAAAATTTGTTTTCATATTTGCATTTTGAGATGAGCTCTGATCGTTTATTTAGTAGTTTGTTTTGGTCTTGGAAGCTAATTATAGCTATTTTTCCACCAGGCAGAGTTTTCTGCTTTTGGATTGATTGTTGTAGGCTGATGTTCTTTTCATTATTTTCCATGATATTTTTGGTGTGAGGTTTATTTTTGTTTTTAATCTCCCAGATATGTTTAGAAAGCATTATGCTGTTCACGTATTTAGTATTGGGTGCGTAGTTTCTTTGTTTCCATGGTCCTTCTGTTACTCCAATGTCTTTTTGTTTGTTTTTTATTTATCTACTGTTTTTACAGTGGCTTGGTATATTACATTGTTCTGCAAGCAATTGCCGTTTAAGGGACATTCGTTCTTTATTCTGCATTTACACGTTGGTTTAATTTGTTCAGGTGGTTTATTGATTGCTTTTCTGTCGTGTTTTTTATTATTTGTACCATGTTCTCGGTAGCTGATTTTTACTGTGTTTTGTTGAATATCTTGTGGAGAGTGCTTGATGCGGGGAAGTATTTGTGTATGTATATCAGTATATCTAATATATCTATCTATCTAGCTAAATCAAATTTTATTTAAAGAACAACAGTTTCAGCAATAACCATAGTCATAAACATAATATTAACAATAACGCTATGAACATATATTACCAAAATTAAATGTACCACAATTACAAAAAAGACGAGACAGCTATAAAACAAAAAAAAAACATAGATATATAAAATCAGTTGATAAAAACAAATTTGTCCATGCCATTAGACCAACCATTTCTACAAAACTCATCATTTGTCATCATCTGATGATGACTTAAAAATGTCAGTAGCTTGGATCATATTTCTTCCGAAATGAACTCGGAAATGAATTTCTGACGGAATTTCCTTCTTATCTGAGAAGGATAATTCCTAATTTGGAAAAGTCGATGAATAAAATCAGTCGACACAAAATGTAACTTGTCTTTAATACTTGCCTTAAAGAATATATAGGATGTATCAAAAATACTCTTACAAACTTTTAGGGGCAGGTTCCCCCCCACCAAAACAAGAAGTGTTATCATATGTAAATTTGATTGACACTATTCCCATTTTAAAAAGGAAATGAATCAGTAAGGACGATTCAGTCATGAAGGTAAAAATGCAATGTGTTTTCTACATGGAATCAACCATCTAAAGCATTATATTCTTTTTCCAACTAATTCTGGTAGTCCCATAAATTATTACTATGTATAGTGAGGCTGGTCTTTACTAGGTGCCCCCTCCAGAATGGCCTTGTACCAGACTAAACTCATCTTGCTTCATGCCTACTCGAATTCTTACCAGGCTTAGCATGATTGGTTAAATCACTGATAGCAAATTAATATTTACAGAGTGCTCAATGTGCTCAAGCCACGTGCCTAACTAAGTAAATATGTAAAAGTCTATTTTTGAAAGTAACTACAGTAAAATATCACATTCTCCATCCCCACTAGAAACGAGTGAAAAGTTGGAGACCAACTACAGACTTCGATCTGGATACACAATCTGATACAGCATTACAATTTGCGCAGCCGTATGTAAAAAATCATATGCCTGCTCACGATATGAATATCCTTAAACGGAACACTTCTCAGTTAACTCACTACTACACACGCTAAATGTTGAAGACAGACTAGCCGCAAGTGTACACGAATGACAAATGTAACCTAGTCTACATAGCAATACAGTGCTAGAATTTGTAAACTTTCTTTGAACGAAGGATTTGCGGACATATGTTTATAAGGATTTTTATCTTTGTTTTGGCGTGAGGAACCAGATGTCTGTAAAAGTATTTTTGATACACCCTGTATATATATTTGTGTATGTGTGTCTTTGTATGTATGTGTGTGTGCGTTATCTGTTAATAAATTCAATAGATTAATCTTAATCTGACTTTGTGCATGTGCATAGAGAGAGAGGGGGAGGGGGAGGAGGAGAGATGAACACACTGATATAGGTAGATCAGGACAGTGCAAAAGTTCGAGATAAAGAAAAAGCGAGAATGAACTGAGACAGGCAGACAGACAGACAGATAGATAGATAGATAGATAGATAGATAGATAGATAGATAGATAGATAGATAGATGCATTCTTTTTGTTTGGTCCGACATAAACATGATAGGATGACTTCAGTGCTAAATGCAAGCAATCATACGTACGAAAAGATAAAAGAAAAATAGGAACTGACAAATCGACCAGAATTTGATACCCTGATTAATGCAGTCAAGCTGAGGTACAAACATACTCTGACATCCAATGATAGTCACGAGAGAGGTGACTAGTATCTTTTTAGACCGTTTTTAACTCAGTCAAGCGCAGTAAGTCGACATGGTAACGAATCCATCAAGTGGTTGGAAGACCTCCGAAGAGAGGTCATCTTGATAGCTGTCATCAGCTTCCAGATAGTTCTAGGTGTAGAATCTTGTTTGAGAATAGTTCTCTCCCCTACGTCCCAAAGCCGAATTTAGATGAAGAGACGCCCTAATCTATCCCCCTTGTGAGGCCCCCTTCCAAATCCCCCCCCCATTCTCACGAGTAGAGGAAAGTGGAAGTGTTAAATTACCCAATTTAACACTATTTACATTATTCACTATTGTCCTCATCTTTGTCGCCATATTTATTACAACGTTTCGGCTTTTGTACGCTCCTCCTTCATGACCCAAAGAGTGTGAGTTCAATACCCGGTTAAGGCAGTGGAGAACTTGGAGAGGGTAATTAACAGGAGATAACTGATAACTAACATCCATTAAACACGGAACGTGGAACTAGAACAGTCTACCCCAGTGAGTGAAATAGAGGGTTCAGTTCGACATTTCAACCACCTGAAGAAGGCCGGAGCGTACAACGGCCGAGACGTTGTAATAAATATGGCGACAAAGATGAGGACAATAGTCAAAATAATGTAAATAGGGTACATAATACCTCATCTCAGAAATATAGACAGATACTGAAAGGCCGAAACGTTGTAATAAATATGGAGACAAAGATGAGGATAATAGTGTGCATAATGTAAATAGTGTACATAATACCTCATCTCAGAAATATAGACAGATACTGAACAGCCGAAACGTTGTAATAAATATGTCGACAAAAATGAGGAGAATAGTCCGAATAATGTAAATAATGTACATAATACCTCATCTCAGAAATATAGACTGATACCCAATTTGAGTAAAGCCGGGGATGATGATGGATGTTTCAAATTCTACAGTTGACAATTCCTTCTCTAAAGGACATAAGATGTTATTGTTAAATACAGTATGTGATTGAAAAAAATGCATGAATGTTAAATTTTTTTAAAAAGTCTATAAAGAAATCAATGCTAGCATCGAATTATCGGCTGAAATTGTATGTAAGGAAAATTACTGAAGGTTATTTAGAGTCTACAATGCGTTATGACAGCAAGGGTAAGAAATGCCTATGACAGTATCAAAACTATTATACACCTTGGCTGGATGCCCCCTAGATTTTGAGACCTTAAGCTCCAGCCTGCCAAGCCTATAGGTAAATCCGAAACTGCCACATCCCATATATTTTCGCAAATACAGAGTGAAAATAAACGTGCACAAATTTTAATGATTTTTTAAATTGACCAATCAGGTAATGGCACGTTATTTATTTGTAACACATTAAATGGTTATAAACTGGGGTTTGTTTTGACAAATGATTCTCTAGAAAAAAAATGTCCAAGCTTAGTTTAGACTGTCGACTGAAACTTGTAAGACGATATTATGCTAATAATGTGATTGCAGAAGCAACGACGAGAGCTTATAAAACAAGGAACAATTTAAAACGGGATTTTTTCTTTATCAACAATTACTCGTCTGATAGAAAAGTTTGAAATCACAAAGACACTGCATGATAATCCTTCAAGTGGGTGACATTCTTTAGAAGCTGGGCGTACAGCTCAAGTTATGGATAATCTGTCAATAATTTAATCAAACCTGCATCCTTGGTTATTCAACAAAACGGAGGAACAAATGAAAATTGGTTCTAATTTCATAAACCCTATTTCATACCAATTTGTTTTAAAATATATTTTGTTGTTTTCACAATTGTTTACTTTGCGTTATAAAGGTTTTAAAACTCGCGTTCATTTATTTTCACCTTGCACATAGATAAATCATTAGCCAAGGGTTTATCTTACACAAGAAATATGTTTGTAATACAATTTCTTTGTTAATGCGCTTAGGTCGATAATGAATACTGATCAGACGGATCGAACATTTCAGAGCCAAAACAATTACATATCAGGTGGAAAAATTATTGATGTATCTGTAAATTATTATGTAGCCTAATGCTGAAAAATGCTTTTATTTGGCACACTATAAACTTACTTGTCAATGAAATTAATACATTTGTAATTTTATGCTGCAATTTTGCAACCAATTTCCCGACATCAAAAAAGCCACTGGCTGACCTAGATTCATGCCCGGCCAGCGAGTGTAGAAGCATAAAAGCCTCCTACCTGTATTCGATTTTGCAAGCATGATTCTTGATACAAACAGTTATATAAACAACCGCCCGAGAGATGATTTCGGTAGTCTGTGATACATCGGAGATGAGAATGTAAGGACCACGTTTCGAACAAGGACAAGATACCGCTTGCACAATAGACTGGCTGATAGTAACTGGCGAAGTATTGGAGTGAATACAATATAAAGTAAAATACGAAAGATTTTAAGTCTTGTGTTATCATTTAACTATCACATCCAATTCATCACACGTTACTTCTCTTTTAACCACATGAATCGGACATTATACAGTGAAAATTTCGGAAGGAAATTCTGTGATAAGTGTCTATCAGGCTGTCCAATTATTGACCCAGATTTGTATATTTATAAACGTTTTAACTCACTAATATAGGATTTGCTATTCTGGCAATTATGATGGCGCGGGGCGATTATTTGAAATTGTCGTTTATTTCCATAGAAAGAAAATAATTAACGGGAATTTACTAGTTGAGAAGAATAAAGTCAAACTATTACAACAATTTATTTTATCGTTAAACTGTCTGTTCGTTTTGGTAAAGAGAAAGATTGAAGAAAATTCTGATATTAGAACGATTTGTGAAGACTGAAAAAAAGCGGGGGATAAATGTTCGAAAAGAGAAGAGGGGGAATGCGAGAAAGAAAGAAAGAAAGAAAGAAAGAAAGAAAAAGAGAGAGTGTCAGTGAGAGAAATAGGGAGAAATGGAATGCGAAAAAGAAAAAATAAGCGAGACAAAGGGAGGGAGAGAAAGAGTGAATTTATAAAAAAAGAAAATGATAAATGGTAAAGAAAAAATAGTAAAAGCAAAAGAAAGAAAGAAAGAAAGAAAGAAAGAAAGAAAGAAAGAAAAAGAGTGGGTGACACAGAGAAATAGATAGAAAGGGGGCGCGAAAATGAGAGAGACGGAGGAACAGAGACAAAGAATGAATGAGGAGAGATAAAAAGATAAAAGATAAAGAAAGACGTATATAGTAAAAGGGAAAGAAAGAAAGAAAGAAAGAAAGAAAGAAAGAAAGAAAGAAAGAAAGAAAGAAAGAAAAGAGAGGGCGTCACTGAGAGAAACAGAGAGAGGGCGCGTGAAAAATAGAAATTGAGAGATACAAAGGGAGGAACAGAAAGAGTGAATGAGAGAGAGATAAAAAGAGAAAAATATAAAAGATAAGGAAAGGGATAAATAGTAAAAGTGAAAGAAAGAAAGAAAGAAAGAAAGAAAGAAAGAAAGAAAGAAAGAAAGAAAGAAAGAAAGAAAAAAAAAAAGAGAGAGAAAGAGAAAGAAAAAGAGGAAGAGTTATACTTACGTTATAGTTCCATCTTGTGTTTTGCAAGTCTTCAGTGCTTCTGCTGTTAAGAGAGAGAAGACAAATATCAGACTGGTTAAATAAAAGATAAATAAGTTGAGAGATCGTAAAGTTCAGGCAATACACAAAGTAGAACAGTGTCAACAACAAAGAGAAAATATATAGAAAGGGTTAAAAGCAGACGGTGGACAAATTGAAAATGAAAACTGAAAGTTGGAAGCATTAAGATAAGCTTTAGTAATTAACGAAAAAAATGTGAAAAAAAAAAAAGAATGAGTATCAAAGGTAAAACAAATATGCCATCAAAAAACCTCATAAATAAAATGCATAAAATCCAAGGATGGGACATTTATATTAAAGAAAGAAAAATCTGTTAGAAATGGAACGAATACATTAGAGATGAACTCTTTCACGACGAAAGAGAACAACCGATAAGACATAGAAATGTCAAAATCTGAAGTGGAATCAGCATTGACCAAACTGAAGAGAAACAAAACAGCAGATATCCTTTGCCCAAGACACGCTCTGTTACGCCCTCATAAATACCCCATAAATAATGGACTATTCCGTTTCGATCACGAGGAAAGACAGAAGGTTCAGTGAAAGAAAGAAAGAGAAGATAGAGGAGGCGATAAGGCTCTCATGTGTTTAACGTCTGCTTCAGTGAAATGGCAAAAGTTGGCAATTTTAAATATTTTTATTTGTACCCTCTTATTTAAATAACGAACTGTATTCATACTTATGAATGTTACTACAAGATTTACTTAAATTTGTTAAGCTTAAATATTTAACAATGCAATCAGGAATTTTCCACAGGTATTTTGTTATCGGGAAAATAGCAAATTAGCTTATTTATCTATTAAATATTACGCAAAATCAGAAAATTCAAATAGGAAAAGTTTTTCACGGGTACAGTTAGTTGTACTAAGATTCCTGGTGTGTACTCATTTTTTCTGGGTCCCAACCAGAGACCTAAGGTCAAAAAAGGCACCATGACATTTTCCACTGTGCAACTTTTAAAAAATCACACATATTTTACGAAGATAAAGCCCTTCGTAAGATACGGGCTGTACTCGTGAGAACAATTCCTTAAAACATGGGCTATCAGGAATCCCTTCAATGAGTCTATTGGAATCTTTTCCAATCAATCCGAGGGCTCCAACTACTACTGGAATTGTTGATGTTCTCATGTGCCACATTTTTGAGATTTCGATTTCAAGGTCTTTATATTTTGATAAGTTTTTGAAGATCTTCAAAGATACATTGCAGTCTGCAATAAGGAGGCACTTTTCTGTTTGCGGTTTCTAATAACGATATCTGGGCGATTAGCTTTGATTGTTCTGTCAGTGTGTATTGTGTAGTCCCATAAAATTGTTATAGGTCCTATCTCCGTAACTGGGTGTGGGTGGTGTTCATACCAATTTCTTTGAGTTTCTTTTCCGTACAAATTGCAGGTTTTCCAGTACACATATTGGCCCACTCTATCATGCCGGGTTTTATATTCAGTGGGTGCCAATACCGTGCAACCTGATATAAGATGGTCAATTGTTTCTGGATATTTATCACAGAATCTGCATTTTGGGCTAACACGATTTTTCAGTATGTATGCTTGATAATTTCTAGTTAACAAGCAATGGTCTTATGCAGCAAGGACAGCTTTTAACCCTGCACTACGTAACCACTGATAGGTACAGGATTTATTTACATCAGCTTGTTTGCTACGGGCTGAGTATTGACCGCGAAGAGTTTTATTTTGACATCGTTTCTGTAACTGGTCCGTTGCATTTGCCTTTGCTTTTTTTTCTAAGTATTTTACAGCTTTAGCCGGTGTATTATCCTTCACTTTCATTTCTTCACCCATTTGAAACTCCATTTTGAATTTGTTGGCTTCATTTATTAATGAATAAAGTCGCTTAATACTTTCATGTTCTTTGACACATATCATCATCCAGTTTTCTGTAGTTTCCAGACATCTTTAAAGGCCAATTATTATTATTATTATTATTATTATTATTATAGGTTATGTAATGTAGATTCACAGTGCTATCTCTATAAATATTTAATGAAATTATTCTGATGAGTTTTCCTCTATGTAACCTCGACTTTACGATTTTAAGCTCAGATTGGTAGCTAAGTCTCGTCATGTTACAGTTAAAATGGCGAGATATCACCGCAAGTTCTATACTAAGAGGTTCTTCTATAGCACTTCTCACTTGTGGGACTCTCTTCCGGTTTCTTTCTTTCCTGTCAACTTTGAACTTTAAATCTTCAAATGCAACGCCAGCCGTTATTTTCCGTCTTTTTAATTCCTGTTCTTTAATTATTCACTCTTCTTAACAATGTTTTTTTTTCTTTTTCTCATATTTCTTTGCTGTGTATTTAACACCCCGCCGAAAAATTTATTGTCATGGTGGCTTTATTATAATATTTTGGGGTGATTTTTTTTAAATTTATTTTTGTATTCACGCCAGGTAGTCATCAACTTTAGTGTCAATAAGGATATTATCGCTATTTCCAATTACTGAGTTTTTGCCATCTGTAGAAATTAGTAGTTTGTACTAGTGATTAAGTGGTAGATAGGGAAGAAAATTGTAATCAATAGATAGATAGATAGATAGATAGATAGATAGATAGATAGATAGATGTGAGCAAATTGTGATTGATGTGAGCAATTTTGTGATAGATAGATAGATAGATAGATAGATAGATAGATAGATAGATAGATAGATAGATCATGAAGAGACTGAGATAGATAGATAGATAGATAGATAGATAGATAGATAGATAGATAGATAGATATGAGCAAATTGTGATTGATGTGAGCAATTTTGTGATAGATAGATAGATATACAGACAGAGAGATAGATAGATTTGAACATACTGAGATAGATAGATAGATAGATAGATAGATAGATAGATAGATAGATAGATAGATAGATATTAATTAATATTAATATTAATATTAACCGTTTATTTACATGGAAATATACGACATTCATTGACCAAGTAATTAATGCTACTGTCAGTTGAAATGTATAAATTCTTTCTATTGAAACAATATCTCGGGGGAAAATAACTTCCTCAAGTCCATAAACTGTTTTCCCTCTTTCCAGTATTGATGGAATCTTCTTTCCTAGCCTTTTATTTAAAGTTGCGTGGAACGTTTACATCTTGATTACGTCACTGTTTTACTTTCGAGTTAAATCTGTTATACATTTTAGTTGTTGCTGCTGCTGAAAGTCATCAAATAAGGTGGTTTCTCTTATTTGGCACAGCTCTTTGTCATTCTGTAATGACTGTCCACGATATTTGAAGACCTACATACATCATTCGGTCGAAATCATTTTAATTGGCCTGACAAAACGGTTGTATATAGTTGACAGTCTCAATATTTCTAAACAGGCTTGACGACATGAAAGTCTAAATTTGACGATGCTATTTAAGAACATGGCTTGAGTTTTTAGGCTTATGTTTGCTAAAGCAGCAATTTGTTGTGTCGGGCAAATAATAATAATAATGAACAACAGAAAACACATCAGTGGCTGAGGAGCACCGGGTGGAAAGCTGAGACGGAAGGCGTAATTATTGCAGATAAGGATCAAAGTCTTTCAACTAGAGCCTGTCACATAATCAAGGATGGAACTAACCCGAAATGCAGGATCTATGTCGACCATATTATCACAGGATGTCTGGAACTAGCAAAAAATGAATATACCCACAGACATAAAAAGGTAGCGACATATGTGCACTGGAAGATATGCAAGAAGCACAAAATCGAAACCACTGAGAGATAGTATGAGCCCCAACTAAACACAGGCACCCAAAATAACGATGTAACTATCCTCTGGGACATGACAATTCAAACTCACAGGAAAATAAAAGCCAACAGACTTAATATTATCAGAAAAGACAATAAATTCAGGAAGTGTATGCTTATTGACATTGCAGTACCATCTGAGAGAAAGACCTCCATAAAAATTATCGAGAAATTGTCCAAATACAAGGACCTGGAGATCAAGATTAACAGGATGTGGGGAATGAAGACTGAGACTGTACCAATATTAATCGGAGCTCTGGGCCTCGTGAGAAAAGGAATGGGCAATTTTACTAACAGTCTCCCAGGTAGCATCAACATACAAGTTGCCCAGAAGATCGCCTTACTAGCAACATCCCATATATTAAGAAAAGTGCTATCAATAAGATGACAATCCTCCTATAGGGCCTAAGAGACCACAGTTTGGACCTGGCTCTACAGGATACAAGGCAGGGAACAAAACTTACACAAATAATAATAATAATAATAATCAAAGCTAATCGCCCAGACATCGGGATCAAAGACCACAGAACCAGAATGACAGAATAGAAGACAGGGAACATAACATACACAACAAAAATAATAATAATAATAATAATAATAATAATAATAATAATAATAATAATAATGACCTCTTGAAAAACTAGTTATGGCTCGCATGATTTCTGATCTTAATTGATTGGAGGTGTTAACATGTTTTGTTATAGCAAATACCCCGTATAGTAGCACAGATTTGCTCTGTTCGTGTTATTTACTTACGCTCAAATACCCTTGGGAATACATCTCTTTCCCATGATATGGGTTAAATATTAGAATTTGGACGTGAAAAATCATTATTCTCAAAACATTGTTAATGCAGTATTCCCTCAGAAAAAAGTTATTCTAACAATCCAAAATATGTTTCGAATTTTAAATAACCTAAAAAGGTTGATAAACCGTAAAAAGAAAACTACAAACTTCCTTATCAGTTACATGACCCTTATCAGTTCGGAATATCTTCTAGAGTTTAACGCGCTGTGCATCTCTGTTCATAAGCGAAAGTAATGGAAGAGCATTATGACTAGTTGTTATAACCTAGGGAAAGTTACTGAATAGAATAATCACATGAAGGTTGGTAATAAATGATAATACTTAGGACAAGAACAACACATATAAGATCCGCCAGCGGCGCGTAGAAGTAGTAGTCAACTGCTAGAAGTGAGTCAAGTGAATTCCACAATGAATCTCCAAGTAGAATATCTACCAACCGCCTTCCCCACCCCAGTTTGAAGGATACGGCTGCGAAATCGATTTGACGTCACATCTCGGGAACATTTGGTAGCAACCTCAATCGGAGACCATCTGAGGGGACTTGGTTACTCGAGCTGAAGGTATTTGTAACTGGACCCAACCTGCAAATTTATGTGCTG